GGGCCCCGCTGTGGAGGTTGCTGCAGGCGCTGCAGCTGAACCCGCCACTGCTGCAGCTGCGGCCACCTGTGCTGCTGCCGCTGCCACTGATGCTGCTGAGACCACTGCTGTTGCTGCGGCTGTCGCCACAACGACATGGCAAGCTAGTACGAGGGGGGTACGCTGCTGGTAGCCTAAGTTGCTGCTGGTGCTACTGGTGGCAGCCTAAGCTGCTGCTGGTGTGCTGGGGGCAGCGGTGGTGAACGGTTGGGTGGGGTTGAGAGCGGTTGGGAACGGTAAGGTTGGGCTAGGAGTGGCCTGGTGCGGTGGAATGCGGCTGAGTGCGGTGCTGGTGCTTGTGGGAGGGGTTCAGTGCGGTCGGATGCGGTTGGGAGCGATGGAGGGCAGTTCAGTGCGGTTGGGAGCGGTGAAGAACGGTCTAGGGCGGTGGAGTGCGGTTCTGTGCGATTCCAGGGGGGGTTAGCACGGGTGGAATGCGGTTCTATGCAGTTCCATGGGAACGAGCACGGGTGGAGTGTGATTCTGTGCGGTTCTATGCGGTTCTGTGCGGTTCAGCGGGTACGGGTGGTAGACTATGGTTTCCAGGTGTGGCTAGTTGGTGGGGCTGAGGCTAACTGGTGGGGCAACGGGTGAGGCAGCTCGTGGGGCAGCGGGTGTCAGGAGGGGCGGCGGGTTTCAACTCGTGGGGGGGGGGGGCGGGTGACAAGTGGGGCGGCGGCTAAGAGATGGGGCGGCGGGTAAGGCAGCGGTTTAAGGGTGGGGCAGCGGTTAAGGCGGCGAGCTGCACGTGCGCGAGGCTGCTGCTGTGCGTGCGTGCGACTGACGACGGGACCACGGGGCCCGCTATCGAAAGGGCCACGGGGCCCGCTATCGAAAGGGCCACGGGGCCCGCTATCGAAAGGGCCACGGGGCCCGCTATCGAAAGGGTCACGGGGCCTGCTATCGAAAGGGCCACTGGGCCCGCTATCGAAAGGGCCACGGGGCCCGCTATCGAAAGGGCCGCGGGGCCCGCTAGCGAAAAAGGGGAGGCGGGTCCCGCGTCCTACGGTCGTTCGACGGACGACGGGCGGGGCGCGCGACGGGAAACGGACGGGCGACGGGCTAGGAAAATTTGACGGGCGACGGGAGGGGAAAAACCGCGGGCGACAAGGTGGCCACTGACGACGGGCGCGCTACGGGCGACGGGCGACGGCTACGAGGAGCGATTAAGGACGGGGCGCGCGCTAGTACGGGGCGCTCGCTAGCGATTTCGGTGGGCCCTTAGTCTATCGAGTGAAAATCGCTAGGGGAAACCCTAGCTAGGGTAAACCTCGCTCTATACCATGTTTAGGGTTAACTATGAGAATTAACTAAGGAAATTATGAACAAGCAAGATATATGTCAGCCCTAACCCTAAACCTAGGACAAAGTAAATGCACCTAGACTAGAACAATACAAACTATATCATTTTAGTTTGACAACGTCCTGGAAGGACAGGACTCGACGCGATCGAGGGTAGTAAAACTGCCACGGCGGGGCGTCGGTGGGGAAGCCCACGAAGGCGCAGCGGAGAGTGCGAGGAGAGAGCTTGCTCGCGGTGGTATCGCGAACAAGGGAGAGCGCGTCCGAGACCTGAAACGCCGACGCATCGCCAACCTCTCCCGTCCAACGGAGTGTGTGCGAGGTCTCTGGCAAAGAGACACGGGGCCAGAGGTTGAGCTGATGCGCGGCGTATCAGACCATAAACGGCCACAGAAAATGGGGGGCAGCCGCATGGGTCATGGAGGTACGAGCAACCTCCATGATCAAGCCAATGCGACGCTCAGCAATCCCATTTTGCTGCGGAGAGGCCGGAAGCATGAACGACTGGACGATGCCCTCGTCTCGACAGAACTCCGCAAGGAGGCTGGAAGAGAACTCACCGCCCCTGTCAGAGTGCAGGCGCAGGACTAGAAGGTCCCGCCGAAACCGCTCGCGCAGCTGGTGACGAGTAGCGCGGATCCAGGGGATTAAAACACCGCCGACATCCGCCTTGCTGCGCAAGGGGAAGACCATGGTGTAGCGCGTGTAGTCGTCAACGACCAGCAGGAAGTAGCGCTCCTTGTCCGTCCCACTGACGCGGGCGGGGCCCCACACATCCATGTGGAGAGTCTGTAGTGGAGCAGTGGTCGGAGGAAACGAGGAGGAGTGAGGAGCGGCGCGCTACAGCCCCTCGGGCACGGCGGGGCAAGCGAGCGCGGGAGGGGGGGCAGGGACCTGGGAAGGCCAGAGACAAGGAGACGAGAGTGCATGCTGCATAGACACGGCAGAGAGGGGTGACCGAGGCTGTGGTGCCAGAGGAGAGTCTTGTGGGAGAGTACCCGGCACGAGCACGACGCAACGAACTGACCAGATGCAGACATCTGACTCGACGCAGCCACCTGTGCAGACGAAGTGGTGAGGGGGTATAGACTGGACCCAGGCTGACGAGTGAACATAGCAAGGTGACAGCCAGTCCGGGAACACGTCCAGATCGCCACACTCTGCCCTCCAGGAGTAAAGGTATCAACCGATATATCCTGAAGGACTGCGTTGCTCACCAAGTTCGTCGAGAACGAGGGGAGGTGGGAGACCTGAAAGAGAGTCTGAGGGGACTGCCGGACACGGGAGGACAGTCGAGGCCCATGCGACGACGGGGCCCCCAGAGGGGTCAGCCAGTGAGAGTGGGACAGGTGAATCGAGTGGTGTGACTGTGGTGCAATCATGAAAGAAGCAACGAGACGCACCAGAGTCAAGTGTGAAAGTGTGCAGGGCCACAGCTGAGGCAGCAGACTCACCAGTAGCAGACTCACTAGCACCTGTGGCAGAAGACGCACTAGCACCTAGAGCGGCAGCAGACTCACTAGCACCTAGAGCAGCAGCACCTAGACTAGTAGCCTCTGCACTACCAGGGACGCATCGCTGAGAGACCCACTCGCAAGGCTGCTGCGGTGAGAGGGTCTCCCGCTGACGCTACTGCTGCTACTGTCCAGTACCTCCAACACCATAACCTCCACCGCTAGGGCGGCCTCTCTGAATAACCCACTCACGAAGCTGCTGTGGCGAGAGAGTCTCCTGGCGACGAGAACGCCGCTGCTGTCCAGTACCGCCAACACGCGTGAAACCATAACCTCCACCACCAGGACGGCCTCGCTGAATAACCCACTCGCGAAGCTACTGCGGCGATAGAGTCTCCGGCTGACACTGCTGCTGCTGTCCACCGCCAGCCGCTGCTACGACTGTGATAGTGGCCATGAGAGGCAGTGGCAGTCAGTAGCAGCAGCGCAAGGGCGTCAGAAGCGACCGCTGTGATCGCAGCTGTAGCAGTAGCGGTTGTCGCTGTAGTGGCAGAACAGCGCAAGGGCTGCAGGGCAGGGCGGCGCGCGGGCTGCAGGGTAGGGCGACGAGTGGCCTGCAGGGCAAGGCGGCGCGTGGGCTGCAGGGCAGGGCGGCGCGCGGGCTGCAGGGCAGGGCGACGCGCGGCCAGCAGGGCGGGGCGACGCGCGGGTTGCAGGGCAGGGCGACGTGCGGGCAGCAGGGCAGGGTGGCGCATGGGCTGCAGGGCAGGGCAACGCGCGGGCTGCAGGGCAGGGCGGCGCGCGGGCTGCAGGGCAGGGCGACGCGCGGACAGCAGGGCAGAGCAACGCGCGGGCTGCAGGGCAGGGCGACGCGCGGGCTGCAGGGCAGGGCGACCCGCGGGCTGCAGGGCAGGGCGACGCATGGGCAGCAGGGCAGGGCGGGTCGCGGGCTGCAGGGTAGGGCGACGCGTGGGCTGCAGGGCAGGGCGATGCGCGGGCAGAAGGGCAGGGCGACGCGCGGGCAGCAGGGCAGGGCGACGCGCGGGCTGCAGGGCAGGGCGACAAGCAGGCTGCAGGGCAGGACGGCGCGCGGGCTGTAGGGCAGGGCGACGCAGGCAGCAAGCGGGCAGAGCGCAGTGCAGGGTAGCGCGCAGCAAGCAGGGCAGCGCGCGGCGAGCAGGGCAGCGCGCGGCGAGCATGGCAGTACGGGTAACAGCGCAGCACGTGCGGCAGCAGGGCAGCACGCGGCGGGGCAGCGCGGGGCAGGGCAGCGCGATAGCGCTAGGCAGGGCAGGGCAGCGCGATAGCGCTGGGCAGGGCAGGGCAGCGCGATAGCGCTGGGCAGGGCAGGGCAGCGCGATAGCGCTGGGCAGGGCAGGGCAGCGCGATAGCGCTGGGCAGGGCAGGGCAGCGCGCGACGACAGCAGCTCCTGGGGCAGTACGTACGGTTGGTGGGCCCTATCGGAGCGGTCCTACGGAGGGACCTGCTCTGAATACCATGTTCGAGATAAAATGTAGGAATGATGGACCTTAGGCAAGCATGAGTACAAGTACTAGAAATGACCTAATGTATTGTATTCCTTAGAGGATACCCCACTACAGCCTAGAGATAACAAATGCAATCTGACAGTATGGGCAGTTCGGGCAGGTCTAAACTAGCGGTGGGCCCTAACGGAGCGGTCCTACGGAGGGACCTTCTCTTTATATCATGTCAGAAATAGTACGTAGGAATAGATGACTAGGATGCAAGGATGAGTACAAGTACTATGGTTGACCTAAAGTGCTGTACTCCTTAGAGTATGCCCCATCACAGCCTAGAGATAACAAATGCAATTTGACAATTAGGTAGGGTGGGCCAAAAACAATTTTGGGCCCTCGTTGACTCGGATTTGATGGTAACCCCATCGAAGGTCGATTTTCGAGAAGATGCGAGCTGTGCGAAGCTCGTCGATGAGTTTATCGGCTCACAGAATAGGGTAACCTGAATTGATCGTAACCCTAATTAATTTGCAGTTGTCGACGCACATGCGAAATCCCCCATCTTTCTTCGGTGTGAACAGTATGGGCGCGGCGAAGGGGGACAAACTTGGGCGAATTAACTTCTTCTCGAGCGGGTAATCCAGCCGCTTCTGCAGTTCGTCTAGTTCGGGTTGGATCAGTCAAAACTATCGCTATATTGTTGGCTATGCTCCTGGTTCTAACCGTATGCTATGGTCGTGCGGTCACTGAGGTGGTAGTCCCTCTGGTAGATCGTCAGAGAAAATCTCCCTGTACTATTTCAGTAATGCTGCCAGGTCATCCGGTACATCGGTGAGCAGTTTCTGCAAATCGCTTTGTTTGTCCACTGCCTCGGTTTCCTGGACGTCGACCGCGTATACGCCAGCTCCTACCGCTACGGCATGTTTCATTGTGATGGCGTTGACTCGAACCAACGAAGACTCAGGCGAGCTCCAGCGAGGTAAGGCGATGTTGTTATTATTGATCCGCACCGTGCAGTCGCCCGTCGTCCAGTTCATTCGCGGGTTGTGTCGTCGCAGCCAATCACGGCCAAGAAATATAGTGGTTCCATCGAGGGTTGTGGCCAGGGGAGGAGGGTGAGGAGAGGGGGAAGAGGGAGGAGGGGGATGAGGGGGAGGAGGAGGAGGAGGAGGAGGAGGAGGAGGAGGAGGAGGAGGAGGAGGAGGAGGAGGAGGAGGAGTGGGAGGAGGAGGAGGAGGAGGAGGAGGAGGAGGAGTTGGAGTTGGAGGAGGAGGAGGAGGAGGAGGAGGAGGAGGAGGAGGAGGAGGAGGAGGAGGAGGAGGAGGAGGAGGAGCTGCAGACAGACGGCATCAGGGAAGTCAGCATGGCAGCTGGGCTGGAGATGCTACCCAGAGACCCCGTACTATAGTGGAGTTGCGGCCAAGACTGAATGCTTGGTGGAGCCGTCAATGACGTCCAAGCATGCCTGGAACGTCCCAGACTGTCAAATGTTGATATTTGTGATAGGTTGTAGTGAGGTGCTCCCTAGTGAGTACAACTCAGTTAGGGTTTGCTATTTGTATCTCCCCCATTCCTAATCTCACCATTTCGTTGCATTCTAACTTTGAGATGGTATCATGAGTAGGTTAGTTCCTCGTTACTTCCTAGCCCGCGCCCTCTCTAACGCACCTCCGCGCCCTCCGCGCCCTCTCTGCGCCTTAGCGCCCTCCTCTTCCGCGCGTCAGCGCCCTCCGCGCCCCTAGCCCGCGCCATCGCGGACCTCTGCGCCTAGCGCCATCTGCGCCCTAGCCCGTCGCCCAGGCCCGCGCCCTAGCCCGTCGCCCAGGCCCGCGCCCTAGCCCGTCGCCCAGGCCCGCGCCCTAGCCCGTTGCCCCGGCCCGCGCCTTAGCCCGTCGCCCCAGCCCGCGACCTAGCCCGTCGCCCAGGCCCACGCCCTAGCCCGTCGCCCCAGGCCGCGCCCCAGCCCGTCGCCCAGGCCCGCGCCCTAGCCCGTCGCACAGGCCCGCGCCCTAACTCCGCACCTCCGCCTCGTGCCTCCGCGCCTCCGCGCCTTGCTCGCGCATCCGCGCTCTGCCCTCCGCGCTGCCTGCGCCGTCCGTGCCCTGCCCATAGCCCGCGCTCTGCCTTTAGCCCGCGCCTTGCCCTCGGCCAGTGCCCTGCGTTCAGCCCGCGCCCTGCCCCTAGCCCGGGCTCTACCCCAAGCCCGCGCCCAGCCCGCGCCCTCGACCCGTGCGCACCCACCGCACTAGGCACGTGGACCTTTTCCCCACCACCGCCCTGTTCACTGGGCCCCCCGCCGTTCCTACTGTCATTGGTCTCTCGGTCAGCGGTTGGCAGCCGCTACTCGCACCGGTCGCCTAGGTTAGACCCGTGTAGCCACTAGCTCCTAGCCACTAGCTCCGCCGGTCTCTTGCCTCGCCACACCTGGCGTTCCTAGATTTCCCTCCTCGTTCCTAGATCCGCCTCCTCCGTGCTCCAGCCGCCTCTAGCCTAGCCTCCAGTATGGAGTCCCGCCGCCTTCGTTTCGATGCGGAGAGGCGACCGATCGAGTTCAGTACCTGGCAGCGCCAGGCCACGCGCTACCTTACCAGTCAGCGTCAGGACGGCGCCACCCTGTTGGCCCACGCGTCTGGTGCCCTCAAGGCGCCCCTGTCTCCCGACCCCCTCCCGACTGACCCGGAGCCCACTCCTGCAGCGCAGGCGGACTACGACCGTCGTGTCTTGGCGAGGGACGTGTGGGACTCTCGCGACGCTGCCACTGCTCTTGCGCTGACGGAGCTTCTCCCACCGACTGAGGCCGTCCACTTTGCCCAGGTGGAGACTGCGCAGGGGATTTGGGATGCTGTTGTTGCGCGCTATTCCACCCCTTCCTCTGCCTCCCTCAGTCGCCTCCTCATGCCGTTCGTGTTTCCCGACCTTGGCTCGTTTGCGACTGTGTCCGACCTCGTGACTCACCTGCGTTCACTTGACGCCGGTTTTCGTGCGGCCTGCACCGATGCTCAGCTTCTTGTCGCTCCCCCCCCCCCATGCGGCTCACTGTGCACTGGTTAGTCACACGCTTCCCTAACCGCCTCGCTACTGCTCGCGACGTGCTTCTCCAGAAGCACCCCACTGAGCTTACTATCGATCTCCTTGAGACCGCTCTCGGGAACATCGAGAGTAACCTCCTCTCCGTTGCCTCCGCCACTGACGCAGTGCCCCCCCGTCTTTTTGTGGGGTGTGCCGCCCCTCAGCTTCCCACTTTCACTGCTACCCGCGCTTCTGCTGCTGTGTCGGTTTCTGAGGACACTGCCGCCGTCTCTGCCGCTGACTGGCAGAAACGGGGCAAGAGTGGCAAGAAGGGCAGGAAGGGAGGTGGAGGAGGCGGTGGAGGTGGTGGTGGAGCTGGGAGCGGTGGTGGTGGCGGCGGCGGCGGTGGTGCACCAGGAGGAGGGAGCCTTGGAGGAGGTGCAGGACAGACAGGCCCGCCTACTGGCGGTGTTCAGAACACTCTGCCGTGCGGTGCTTCCGCCGCCTCGACGACCTCTAAAGTGCCCGTTGGGGCCCTGAGGCAACCACTCCACGCTGGGCTCGCCTGTTAACCCGTAAGATTCCTGTCTCTGATCTGTCTATGGATGATGCTCGTCAGTATGCTTTGTATGCTGATGTTGACTATAGTGCTGATAGATCTGTATGCTCGCGTGTTTGTATATTAGCTTGCTTACCTCCTGCTAGCGTAGACTTGTGCCTCTCTAGTCTAGGTGCTTGTGTTTCTGCCCTAGGTGCTTGTGTAGCTTCCACACCGGGTACACCACAGGCTGTGGCGACCCTGTCCTTCACGCTGGACTCTGGCGCGTCGCCGTGCTGCTTCCGCGATCACATGACACTCACACCGCTCCTTGCTCTTGTACCGGTAGCCTTGGCTGATCCTTCCTCAGGACCAGCCGTGGCACGCAGCTCTACCACCCTCCCGTGCCCTGTGGTCCCCTCTGGTGTCCTGCGCGGCCTCCACATCCCCTCCTTCACTCGGAACTTGGTGGGTGTTGGATACCTCCAGGACAGGGGGATCACCGTTACCTTTGTGGGGGGTGGGCGGACTGCAGTCTGTACGGACGCTGTGACTGGCAGAGTTTTGGCCACGTTCACCAGGGAGCCGCGCTCCGGTCTGTACGTCCTCCACACCGAGCACTCCCCAGTTTCCACGTCCGCTCAGGTCGCTGCCCCCAGGTTCCTGCGCCTCCGCCAGTTGTCGAGTCCAGTCAGGTAGCTTCGCCTCCTCCGGTTGTCGCGTCTGGTCAGGTTGTTGCGTCTTGCTCATGTCGGTCTTTCACCCACCGGACCGTCTTGTGGCACCACCGTCTTGGCCACCCGTTGATCCCCCGCCTCCGCATTATGGCTGATCACCGTTTTGTGTCAGGTCTCCCTCGCGTCTTTTCGTCGCTCCCTCCCTCGCCTGCACCGCCGTGCACTCCTTGCGTCGCCGGCCGTCTTCGTGCCACTCCGCACTCCTCCTCCCTTCGTCCGGCCACTGCTCCCTTCCAGACGCTCCACTTGGATGTCTGGGGCCCTGCACCTACGCAGGGACCTGAGAGGAAGCGCTACTTTCTGGTGGTCGTCGACGACTTCTCCAGGTACACCACAGTGTTTCCTCTCGCGAAGAAGTCCGAGGTAACTTCTACGCTGATTCGGTGGCCTCTAGCCACTGAGGGCACTCGTGGCCGTCGTGTCTCATGTCTCCACTCCGACCGTGGGGGTGAGTTTCGCTCAGGCATTCTTGCCGGATTCTGTGGCGAACAGGGCATCGTACAGTCCTGGACGCTGCCGGAGTCCCGACGGCAGAATGGGGTTGCTGAGCGCCGCATTGGCTTGGTCATGGACATCGCCCGTACGTCCATGATTCATGCCCGTGCGCCCCATTTTCTGTGGCCCTACATGGTTCGCTACGCCGCTCACCAGCTGAACCTCCAGCCGCGCGTCTCGCGGCCGGAGGCTTCACCGACCAGTCTTTGGACCGGGTCCCCTGGTGTTGGGTCGGCCTTTCGAGTCTGGGGCTGCCTTGCGCAAGTCCGCGACACCTCTGCGGACAAGCTCTCGGCACGCGCCATCCCCTGTGTCTTCCTTGGTTTCCCGGTAGCCTCGGCCGACTGGTCCTTTTACCACCCGCCCCTTCACCAGTTCCTAGACTCCCGTGACGTCCGATTTGACGAGTCTGTGTCCTACTACGCTCGCTACCCCTGTAGAGGTCTCCCGGTTCCCCCTCCCCCCCTTTTCCTCGCACCCTCTCTTCCCCCTGCTCCCGCTCCTCCGGTACCCCCACCCCCCCCCGGTCCTGCCCCATCAAGTGTGTCTCACGCTACCCCTCTACCGACGGTCGCGCGTCAGGTAGCGTCTCCCTCCCCGCAGTCCTCCTCACAGTCCCCTCAGCGGCCTTCGGTACTTCCGCGAGAGGTTACTGTTGACTCGGTTGGTGTTGGAGCTGGAGGTGCAGCCACTGGTGGTACTCGGTCTGTGGGTGCTCGTTTGAGGGGTGCTAGAGTTGGAGGTGCTGGCGCAGGTGGCGCTAGCCCTGGGGGTGCTGGAACTGGAGGTCCTGGCACTGGAGGTGCTAAATCTGGGGGTGCTGGAGCTGGAGGTGCTGGCACTGGAGGTGCTAGTTCTGGGGGTGCTGGAGCTGGAGGTGCTAGTACGGGAGGTGCTAGCTCTGGGGGTGCTGGAGTTGGAGGTCCTGGCACTGGGGGTTCTAGAACAGCGGGCACTGAGGCTGGGGACCCTGACCCTGGTGGTACCCCCTCTGGGGACACTGGTACTGGGGGTGCTAGTTCTGAGGAGGCCGGAGCTGGGGGCACTGCGTCTGAGGAGAGCACTCCGCCTCCCCAGCGCCACGACACGCGTTACCAGGCGGCCTGCTGGCGTGCGTGCGAGGAGCAGGAGCGGTTGGAGCGGGAGCGGCAGGAGTTGCGGCAGTTGGACCTGCTGGAGCAGCAGCAGCAGCAGCAGTAGCAGCAGCAGCAGCAGCCGCCGCAGTCACAGCAGCAGCAGCCGCCGCCGCCACCGCAGCCGCGGCAGCTCCCTCCCGTGAGTGCCTCCGGGCCCTTGGTCTTCCCTCCTCTCCTCCTGTCCGCTCTCAGTCTCCCCCTGCGTTTGGTCCTACGTTTCCTCCTCCTGACGACCGTCCGGCAGTCTGGTCTTCCTCTCCACCGCAGTCTCCTCCTCCTGTTGTCCGTCACTACCGTTCCCGTCCTTGTCCTCCGAGTGCTCGTCCCTCGTCCCCCGTTACCGACCTCCACACTGCCCTCTTTTGTACCTCTCTTTGTCGTTCTCCTCCTCCGGTGTCAGTTCTCCCGTCTCCTCCTCCGTCTTCTCTTCCTGTCTCCCCTACTCCTATCTCCGACTACTACCGTGCTGTTCACCCTATTGTCTCCCGCGTTC